ATAATTATTAATGAGCATTAATACATATAAGATTATTCCTAATATCTCTTTAACAGAAGAAAATTAGTACATTTTTAAATGCGAAAAATATAAAAAATTAATTTGTTTGGATTTCTTTTAAAGAAGTTTTGAATTAATTTATAGGTACCCTAGATTGCAGACACAATTTTTTATTCTATAAATATTATTGTTAGATCAGTAAGTCATCTCTGTGTCATTCTAGAAAGACTGTTTGTTTTTATTATTAGAGTTTCAAAAAATTCCTTTCTAAACTTGGTATCGAAAGCGACAATGTTCCCAACAATCTCAGCTCAATAAACATGTTTCGAACACATTTTTCTGGATTATTATTATTACTATTATTATTTTGATTTTTATATACAATGACGACCATTTAGGGGAAAATATTACCAATAAAGTAGCGTTACTATTATTATTAGCTCAAAGGAGCGTTAGCTCAGAAGAGCCATTAGATTCGAAACTTTGAATCACTGTAAAAGGCTAAATCATTTTCAAATCGTTGCCACCAAATATTATCGCCCTGTATTACTTTAAAAGAAATTAAATAAAGGAGAATGGGCATGAATATAGGTATGTTTCTGGCACTGTGAAAAAAAAAAGGTACCCAGAACCATCAAATTTTGCATAACATAACCCTCTACCCGGACATGGGCACTTGGAAGCCCGAATTTCGAATTTGTTTTAATATCTATTTCACATTTTGTAAAACCTAAACGAATTTTTGATTAACAAACTCAACGATTTCAAAGCAAGCAATGGCAACAGTGTACGGGGAAAAAAATCATTTTTATCTCCGCCGCACAAGTTTGTCTATCGAAATTTCTAAAGGTATGCTGTTTTAAATATTATGCGATATTGCTGTTGAGTTGAATTTTATATGGCGTTAAGTGCGAAGAGCACGATATTTAATAAATAAAGATAAGACATAATGCGTTAAAAAAACGCCTCTTTGGGCATAACATAAAATCTGAAAGCTTTCAGATTTTATATTATTCCCAAAGAGATTTCGAAATTTCGTTCCAAAATTTTTTGCATCATTTTTACAAGTTACAGCACTTTTTATTTAAATGCTTTTTATTCTGATGTTGTACGCATGCAAAATTTATTTCAAACAATATACATTTCACATTACTCAAGAAGAGATAAATTCAAACTTGATGGAAGTCTGAGGAATACGGTTTCCTTCTAATTTCTAACTAAGATAGTTACGTTTCATCTACACAAACTGTAGTCATCCAAACTTTTAGAACTTAAGCAGAAAATGTCACCAAGCTGTCATGAAGTAACTACTTCGTGCAGCAAAAGCATTTCAAAGACAGCATACGAAATTTAAGGTTTATTGACAGCTATTATTATTACTGACCTGATAAAATTACTTTTCAATTTTATTTAACAAGATATTTACTAGGGAAACGTATAAGTATACCCTGTTTAATATAACTCTTTTAGAGTAGCAGTGCATCTTTACAAGTTTCCCAGATGTGATAACGATCAGGAATATTATATTTAAGAAGTTTGTATGAAATGTTTTTTCTTATTTTACTATGAGTCTTATTTATCAAAATGCAGCAACTAACAACTTCTAAAAATGTAGCGAGGTCGATTTCTTTTAGGTCGTGAATTTAAGTACAACTATATACATTTCATTTACAAGTTAGCGGATAAGTTTGATGCGATTGAGAACTGAATACCAAATATATGGTTATGTAACTAAAGTTATCCGGAAAACTGAAATATTTACAAAAGTTTTCTGATAATGCTATCTATCAGTTTTTAATTTAAAGAAAATTTAATTAAAAGACTAAATAATGCGTTTTTAAATTAAAGAATATTTTGATAGTATTTAAAAATCGAGGAGATTTTATTATCTGTTTTCCTTTGTTTATGAGTAAGACAGATACTTCCATGTATTCGCGTCTCAAAGCGATGGCATATTTTCACCAAATGGTAACTGCCTGTGATCGTTATTCACGCGGCCGTACATTGTGAACAAGGGAATAGTAACAACAACAATACAAATATTCAATATATATATATATATAAAGATATATATATTATAAGCAAAGTTGTAAGTACAATACTAAAAAAGACCAATTTTGGTCAAAATTTTTGCGCAATATGCTGCAAAGTTAAGGAAATGAGAAGAGAAATTGTAGTTAGCTCGCCAAAAAGTTACCAAAAGCTGTGGCTCCAAGAAAAGTTCAACGCAGTCATAAAAGTGGAACTGTAAACAGTATCCGGTAACTCATTAACTAAAGCTTAAAAAACTTTATAAAACTAAAAATCATCTAAAACATTCTGAAACTTTTTGCGCTTATAGCTGCGAAAAAGAAATAATATTATAAGCAAAGTTGTAAGTACAATACTAAAAAAAATGTTAGTGTGAAAATATGAAATACATCGAAATATACGATTATAAGAATTATTAAGAAAATATTGCTAGATTTATTATCGTAGCGACAATTTCTATCATCACGCCTTTACTGTATTATCAAGATAACACAAACTATTTTTACTGATTGTAATTATTTTTTAACAATTCCTTTTTCTTATTTCATACAATGATACAAACACACCTCTTTGAACACGACCTCTTTTTCTTCACAAGCTTTCTTTTAGTCAATATTCGTGCTTTTGATTCTTTAACAAATACGTTTTGGAATATCAAAAACAATATACTTGCATATATATGTTTTATAACCGTTGAAAAGGAAGTATAATTTTCAGGTATGTAAGATGGAAGAGTGAAAAACCTAATCAACTTAACAAGTAGTAATAGATGGTTGAAAACAAAAAATGTGAAGGAAATTTCCCGAAAATACGCCAAAAAAAGAACAGAAGCTAGTTTGTTGAAATCCTAATTTTGAAATTAAATAAAACACATATAAATGGAATATAGAGTTCAAATAATGTTTTAAATTTAATAAATTTTAAATAAATATTAAATAGTTCTGTTAACTTATAGAAGATAACTCATAAGTGATCTATAAAAACTAGTAAATCCGAGATACAGAATTCTACTTTATAGTAACAAAACGCAGAATAACCTTTAATAAATTGTTGTTTAGATTTCATTTGAAAAATGCTATTAACGTTTATGCATTTGAAACAAGGGAACTTCTAAAGCAGTTCTGCGCCATTCAAATGAAATGACTGAAGGCTCAGTTTAACAAATTTTTTTTTTTTTCTAGGCAAAACTTTCTGGGTATAAGTTGACTTTGTGCTATCATTTAAAAGCAAGGAGGTACAGTGTCACATTTAAAAGTAATCGTTTCATCAGCATCCTGATTAACTAAGCAAACAAAGAAAAAATTATCAAAAATAATCAGCATATTCTGCCTCCCGGGAAAACTTTCAAAATGCATACATTGTTATCAAAATCCTAGATTTTTCATCAAATAAAATTAAACGTATATACATGGTTTAAAACAACCTATATCACTCTGAATGAATTAGCCGATATAGGAGTAGGAGGCACTTATGCGTTTATAGGAGAGGTGCAAATCAAATTATTATGTTCCTTTTTACGTTTCTTAGAAGCCGATTATGTTAATTATTTTTGGAAAAAGAATTCTAAATATAAAATGCATTGTTTAAAATTCATATATAGAATCACCAAGACTCAAGCAAGAAAGGGATCACTGTCAATAACTCTCTCATGAAATCAAAATTACTACTTCAGAACTTGCTCGTGAAAGGGGGGGCGTAAAAGAATCACCTACTCTTAAATAACTTTTAAAACGTAATTAAGGCAAGTAGGGTTACTTTGTTTACTTTGTCTTTTGTTTTCGTAATTTTTCTCTTATTCACTTCGCATTTTCCCATTTCTCAGCCAAACTGGGGAGTTTAAAGTTTCTTTCATGTTTTTGGTATGAGAGTGTAAAATGCACTATGGCGTCACGAATAAAGTCCACCTGCTGCATTCTACAGAGAAATTAATCTTTTCTTTAACTTTTAAACACCAGTTTATTTATTTATTTATTTATTAAATCATAGTAATATGCATTTTCTCTCTCAGCTTCAAGCATTATGCGATTAAAAATATTTTAAAATTATTTTCCAAAGGAAAGAAAAATTTAAAGCTGTTTTATTCCTTACATGTAAACGCTTTCAAAATTATCAAGCAATTTTTTTTTTTTTTTTTTTTTTTTTTTTTTTTTTTTTTTTTTTTGCAATGAAATGTCTGTTTCCATGGTATATGCATCCTAAACACTTTAGTATGGTTAAAAACTTTAGTTAAACTGAAAACATAAAAGCATTTTTTTTTTTTTTCCCGACTGAACTTTCAGATTACTATGAATACTTCAACGTTACTTCAACGATGTAAGCTGTTCAGTTTACATCTAAGGATAAGAAAGCAAAGACGTATTATATTTTTTAAAGTTTCATTTGAACATTTTGAAATTGTTTTGCAATGGAATAAACTTTTAGTGGTTTATTTATTTACCTCTTATTTCCCTATCCTCATTAAACTTTTGTTCTTATTCTTCTCAAAGTATTTAGGAAGTTAATAAATGCTTTATCATATTATCATTGCTGTCACTTTGGTGTAATGATACAAAAAATTAATGATTTAACTTAATAATATTCACTTTCAGCTAAGTAAGTGCAGGACCTTTAAAGAAAAAAATTACAAATCAATAGCTATTACGCAAGAATATATAGTTTTATAAACTTAAGCTCAGTAACAATAATAATAATGATAATAAAAATAAACTGAAGCAGTATTATATATTTCTTAATAATTTTTAAACGTTCTTAAATGCCTCTTTAAATTGATAACTACATTTAACTTCTTTAATTTTAATTATCGAAAAGAGCTGATTGCATAAATTCCTTTAAATTGGGAACTGAGATATTTTCAGTTATAAATTTATTTGGGAGTATAGCACAAACTTAAGCACTTTTCCATCATGTTTGAAGGCTAATGAACTACAACAACACAAGTAAACCGATTCGAAGGAATTGGAGTTCCCTACCTATTTTTTGCTGCAGCTGCTCGGTCCCTCTGTCGCCTGTTTTTGAACCAGTTTCCGACTTGAGTCGGTGTAAGTCCTGTTGCCTGAGCGAGTTCTCTCTTTTTGGTCGGATTTGGATATGGGTCTTGCAGGTACCACTCCCTCAGCAAGCTGCGGGTTCGCTCTTTGAAGCAGTGGGTCTTCTGTTCACCGTCCCAAATAGTTCTAGGCAATGGGTACTTCTTTCTCACTCTATATTTGTCCACTGGCCCTAAGGGCCTGCCCCTTAGTTTTTCAGCTTCTTGATAGTGAGCCTCTAGCCACATAGCCTGCAATTTTGTGTGCGAGGCCTTTGTGAAGCGATGGCTTTCGAGGATATGATATAGTTCTCGGAAGCTGCCTGTGTGAAAGGCCACAAGGGCCCGAGCTCTCAAGACAGCTTCATTTTTGTTGAGTTCACTACAGTTCGGATGTGCTACTGGAAGGGACCAAAGGAACCTGCCCAGTCTCTCGATGTCCCCGCTCTCTTCAAGAGTCTCGCATACCGCGGCCACCTGGCTTACGGTGAAGTTGAGCGTGGGAAGGACGAACATGGGACTGTAAGCCGCCGCCGCTGCAGCGGGGCCCAGCCCTAGAGCCATCAGTCCCCTAAGTAAAGTCGAGCAGCACGTGTGGTGACCCCCTCAGAGCTGTGGGGTTTTAATGGCGAAGGTATCGGATGCACGACGTACGGGCAATCGAAACCCAATGTGGCGGTATCCTATGGCCGGTCGCTCCAACTCCCTCGTCTCAGTAGTAAGTGAGGAGGTGTTCGATCCTCTTTTAGCAACACGTCCCCTCGTGCATACGCGCAGGGTTGCCGGAGTGAAAGCGATTCTTTCGCCGCCAAGTGGAATCGCGGTAAAACCGGTTCGGCGGCCTGGAATCGGTTGACACTCAAAAGAAATCAGCGAACCGTCACTGATAATCTCGCAAAATAAGAGGTTAGGACCTTTTTAATAGTTTATTTATGAATTTTTTGTTATTCCTTAAATAAAATCGTTTATTTTGCAAAACTGAACTAATAACTCTATAAATAGAATAGGCAAACCGTGACTTAAAATGGGGATTATTTTTATGTTTCTAATCGTAAGGAATTCAATCAAGATATTTGAGGTATCAGTGTTGAAATCGGAACTTAAAGATCTGCTGTTATAATCTGATGATGAAAAACTCTGATGATTTCTTTTCTAGCAGATACAGTTCAAAAAATGAAACATGAGACGTGCTTTGTAACACAGTTGATGTTTCAAAAAAATTTTCGGTTGAATGTGAGGATATAATCTTATTAGTTTCTCCTTAAAGATATTAAGTATCTATTTCTAAAGTTTGCAATTTAGAAATAAATATGTTTTATAATACTGCAGTTTACGAATTTATTTGTATCATTCTTCTGAGCTTGAAAATTACGAAAAAATTTCATAAAAGCGTAATAAAAAGTTTGATATTGTTGAACTGTTTTAGTTCTTAAACAATTTTTTTTTTTAATTTTATTAATATTTATATATTATAAATGGGTAAAATGCATCATCGTAATGAAAATTAACCTTCACATTTTTCTAAGAGCAAGCATATATATGACATACGTATGCATGAGAAGTCCAAGTATTTACAACAATAATAATGCTTTTTAAATTATTTGAAACAAATTTCACTTTTTTTGCTTTGTAATATATCATACTCGATTCGAAACATGCTCTCTGCTCAAATTTACTTTTTGTATGTCCCTATTCCTTAACGTTGTTTGCGTGAGTACTATTCTACTGCCACTATGGTAATTAATTAGAATCCACAGAACAAATAGAATTATTCTTAAATAAAATGTGAAGCTAAATTTAAATTTTCAATTAAAAACGTTTCACCGAAATTCTGTAGTAATACTCTCCAGTTAATAAGGAAACTCTGAATAAGAAGAGAAAATATATTAAATTTATATAATTTTCTTTTTCTTTTGTCTTATGGTTAAAAATACTTTAGAATGAAAGATTGTATATATGTTGGCAATAACGTAATGGTCTTTGTTTTGCCACTACTGCGCTTCCAGTAGTTACTGTTCTGCTTTTGTACAAAATAGTGGTAAGCTCAAGTCCCATTATGACGATCTACGTCTTCGCAATGGGTCATAAACACAGGTAACTAATTGTATTGAGATTACAAAAGAATAAATTAATTAAAAAAGTGTATATAATGAGCACGATGTTTCAAGTCAATCCTCCCTCTTCCACTCTTTTAGACTTCAAATACTTTTTCCGTCATACATTTCTGAAGAAAAAAAATTAAAATGTTCTTGCAAATGCATGCATATATGCTACAGATTTAGACTTTAATCATATTTACTCTAAAAATGCCTTTTGCTTCAAAATTTTAAAAGTTTGCGCTAGTAAATAAAGTTCTGAGTGTAAGCCAATAAGTAATCAGCGACTATATGCCTAAAATTATTAATTCATAAGTAAGGAATAATTATCTCAAATCTGCTCCTATCTATTTAAATGTTTGTTATATGAATAAAAGTATACTAGAAGTGCACACAGTATTACATGAAATTTTTAATTATAAAGAATGCATTAGATAAGCAAAAAAAAAACAATAAAAAAAAAAAAAAAAAATAATAAGTGAAAAAAAAAAAAAAAAAAAAAAAAAAAAAAAAAAAAAAAAAAAAAAAAAAAAAAAAAAATAAAAAAAAAAAAAAAAGTTAAAAAAAAAAAAAAAAAAAAAAAAAAAAAAAAAAACTGTTAAATTTTAAATAATTAAAAGGAATTAATTTTGAAATATTTTTATTAACCTAAGAATTATCACTTCTGGTATAGTGCACGCAGAAATACGCACACAGTGCGCAATTAAAAAAGCATCTGCTTTTAAGCATAGTATAATATCTTTTACACTTTTTTTTTCCTTTTAACTGCTCATAGTATTCAACTCATATATATATATAAAACTGTGGCCTAACGGCGAAGTCGCTGGACACTGATGGTTCGGTTCGGCCTTTGAATCTCGGCCAACGAGCTGGCTTCATGGACGTTTTTGTGGTTTCCCCATGTGTATATGAGTCAGTTTCTCTTAGAAAGTCCTCTATGAAGGATTTCCTCCCTTTAGAAAGATAGCTCTCGTGTACTTTGTCGTAATCAACTAAACCCAAGCAAACCAAACCAAATAAAGAGGCTCAACTGACGTTAACGTTTCACATTTTACAACGAAAATTTATTCTGCCTTTTCTAAAATGAAGGTTTGTAAATATGGTTTTTGTATTACGAGGTTGAGCTCAGTCTGTCGGAATAAGACCAAAATAAGGCTGCATTTTTCTACTACCAATTTCCAAGCTGTCTTGCTTTTTAAAAATATGTTATTTTATTTAACTTAGCAAATTTTTATCTCTGAAGCAGTCAAAGCGTGAGAATCTTACAGCATTTCATATTCATTTCTTAGTTGTTAAAATCTAGGTATTAGGTTAAATTTTTGGTTAAGTTTCAATTTTATATCTTCGAAAATTAATGGAAATTTCTGAAAGTGCGCAGTTGCCAATATAAGGATAAGCTTGCCAAATATGGTAACCACTCGGCCGTCTCACTACTATTAGTGCTAAACTCCGGGGCGGGAAGACGCCATCGATAGGTGTCTCGAGCCGACACGGGCCCCAGACGCCGTCTCATTGGTGGATCATTGTACTTCGTAGGCGGGACTATAAGTGGGCGTCGTCATGGAAACACTGCCAATCATGTACCCTAGTGCCAATCAGAGTAACAGTTGGGTTTACACTTCGGGAGCGGTTAGGAATGTTCTTGCGACAGAGAAGGTCACTTATAGGTGTGAGGACTCCGATCCAATATGGCAGCAGCTCGTGGGGAAAGAGGGGGTTACTCCAACTCTAACTTTTCACTCCGTACTATTTCCCACGTAGCTTAAGAAAAGAAAACTGGATTGTACATTTTTCTTTTTTGTAACCTTAAATTTACATTAGAAAAGACACCTTTAACTAAATCGATGTTTTGTTAGAGTGCATTTCATTGACTGAGTATTTATTTGGAAGAAAATATTTATTCTTTCTCTTGAATGCATTAATCTTGAATTCTGTTAAAAATCCATCTCTTGAATTCCATTAAAAATACTATGATAATCAATAAGTTTGTACTAATTCCGGCTCATAATTAAAATATGTGCATGTAGGCAGCGGTTCCTGAATAATATAAGATTTCTGGTATTTTTTATCTAATTTTACATATTTAATTTTTTTTTTTTTTTTTTTTTTTTTTTTTTTAATCTTACGAAAAATAACTCTTTATAAATGCTTCCTTACTTCCTCTAAACTTAAAACCTTCAAAATTTATTTCTGAATAGATTTGCACCTTTCATTTGATGAAATTAATCTTAGCAATTCAATCAAATGCTCTTTCTAAACTTGTATAATCCGTTCTAAATAGAAATCCATCATAGATCTCGTCATAAAACATACGTTTCCTCTAAAGCAGATGTATATTTAAGTTTTTTAAGAAAATATTTTTTATAAAACAGAGAATTGAATACGAACAAGTAAGGATTTTATGTTTTAAATTTAAGTAACAGTAATTTCGCACAGCCGGATTCCATCGTAAAATTTGTTTTCCGTTGGTCTTTTTTTTTACAGGACAGTGTCTTGAACCTGCACAACATGCACGTGTGGGCACATGAAAACACGAGGTGTACACGTGACCATGGAAGTCAACGATGTTGCACATTAAACGATTAATCTGTTATTATCGTTATTTTAACTGATCCTTACCTATTACCTCAACGCAGCAATGTGGAAAACCTTTTTTAGAAAGAGTGTTGCCGGATCTGATGGTTGATGTTCTAGCATCTACATGTCGAAACATGCGGTTTCAGCCAGGATGGAGCGCCTGCACATTTTGGCAGCACCGAATACCTCGATAGGACATATACTAATCGCTGGATTGTCAGATGCAGAACTGTCGAATGGCCACCGCGATCCCCCACCTGACTCCCCTGGGTTTCTATCTAAGGGGATACATGAAGTCAATGGTGTACAAGACGACCATAACATTGGACATGGATCTCGTTGCCAGGATCGTGAAGTTGAGGCATGTGTCCGTGACATCCCTGCGCATTTTGAACGTGTCCGTGAATGCATGCATCAACGTTTTGAAGCATGCATTGTGGCGAAAGGAAGGAATTTCGATCATCTTCTGTGATTTAACCATGCTCTTGAATGAAAGTCGTATTAACCCCAGTTTCGACATTCTTTTTTCTCCCCCTCTACACCTGCGAACATAGCCCTCTAGCAATCGCCATTCACACGTTCCTAAGTAAATCTTGTTCTTTATGGTATGGCAGTCCAGCTTTTTGGCAACGACCTTTTGAACATCCTTTAAATGACAGGTATTGCAGGATTCCCAAACTGTCTGGCTGGATGATTCCCCAATTACAGATTTTCTTCCTAGTCGCCCAGACGGGAAAGTGGTTAATGACTCTAACTGTTATACCGAAGAGTCACGGTTCGAACACTAGAGAAAGCATGGATGTAATTTTTCCATCCCTTCAAAGAGTGGCAATGAGGTAGAGTCTGAAATTGAGAAAGAATGTAATACTGTGTTAGCGTATGATGAAAAAATGAGTTTATGTATTTTTAGGGCTAAAAAGAAACTTAATTTAAATTCTCAGATAGTGAGCATTGAAAGTGAATCGCCTGGTAACCATACTTCTGCCGTAAAGGTCGAAAACAAAACTAACATTCGGTT